GTTCGTGAATTTTTAGATCCCATGGCCGTAACTAAAGTGAATTCGAAATGGGTATTTATGTATGTATTAATTTAATGTATGTGCTCATTTATATTTTAAGTAGTGTTTTTGAATTTAATTATATTTTAATTAAATGATAGTTATTTTGTGAATTTTATGTCTGTAGGAATTTGGTATAACGTTTTTGTTGAAGTAACGTGCATGGAAATAATTTAAATATATGACACTAAGTATTTGTAATGGGTTGCGGTATGAATTTGTTGGTGACGTGGTATAATGTAATAATGATTTAGAGGTAAAAGTTTTTGGATATTTTATTTATTTTATATGTGGAAATGTTCATATTTGGAAAGGGTAAATACTTTTTCGCGATCAGGTAATTTCATATATGTTCTTTTTACCGGGTTTAAAGATTGAGAAAATTGCCATGTATTTTTGTGAAATTTTTCTAATTTATGAGAAAAAAGCAGTGTACATGGATATAGTGAAGAGTGTGCGAAATGCCATTTTTGTGCAATTCTGGGATGTTTTTTTAAGTAAAAATAAGTCGGCGTGTACATGGTTTAGTGATATTTTAATTAAATGATAGTTATTTTGTGAATTTTATGTTTGTAGGAATTTGGTATACGTTTAAGTTGAAGTAAACGTGCATGGAAATTATTTAAATATTTGATACTAAGTATTTGTAATGCTTGCGGTATGAATTCGTTGGTGACCTGTATAATGTAATAGATGATTTAGAGGTAAAAGTTTTTGGATATTTTATTTATTTTATATGTGGAAATGTTCATATTTGGAAAGGGTAAATACTTTTTCGCGATCAGGTAATTTCATATATGTTCTTTTTACAGGGTTTAAAGATTGAGAAAATTGTCATGTATTTTTGTGAAATTTTTCTAATTTATGAGAAAAAAGCAGTCTACATGGATATAGTGAAGAGTGTGCAAATGCCATTTTGTGCAATTCTGGATTTTTTTTTTAAGTAAAATAAGTCGACGTGTACATGGTTTAGTGATATTTTAATTAAATGATAGTTATTTTGTGAATTTTATGTTTGTAGGAATTTGGTATACGTTTTAGTTAAAGTAAACGTGCATGGAAATAATTTAAATATATGACACTAAGTATTTGTAATGGTTGCGGTATGAATTCGTTGGTGACGTGTATAATGTAATAGATGATTTAGAGGTAAAAGTTTTTGGATATTTTATTTATTTTATATGTGGAAATGTTCATTACTTTTTCGCGATCAGGTAATTTATATATGTTCTTTTTACCGGGTTTAAAGATTGAGAAAATTGTCATGTATTTTCGTGAAATTTTTCTAATTTATGAGAAAAAAAGCAGTGTACATGGATATAGTGAAGAGTGTGGCGCAATGCCATTTTTGTGCAATTCTGGGATGTTTTTTTTTAAGTAAAAATAAGTCGGCGTGTACATGTTTAGTGATATTTTAATTAAATGATAGTTATTTTGTGAATTTTATGTTTGTAGGAATTTGGTATACGTTTAAGTTGAAGTAAACGTGCATGGAAATAATTTAAATATTTGATACTAAAGTATTGTAATGCTTGCGGTATGAATTCGTTGGTGACGTGTATAATGTATAGATGATTTAGAGGTAAAAGTTTTTGGATATTTTATTTATTTTATATGTGGAAATGTTCATTAAAGGAAATACTTTTTCGCGATCAGGTAATTTTATATGTTCTTTTACCGGGTTTAAAGAGTTGAGAAAATTGTCATGTATTTTCGTGAAATTTTTCTAATTTATGAGAAAAAAGCAGTGTACTGGGATATAGTGAAGAGTGTGCGAAATGCCATTTTGTGCAATCTGGGATGTTTTTTTAAGTAAAAATAGTCGAAGTGTACATGTTTAGTGATATTTAATTAAATGTATTTTTTAATTTATGTTGTAGGAATTTGGTATACGTTTAAGTTGAAGTAAACGTTGCATGGAAAAATTTAAATATTTGATACTAGTGTTTGTAATGCTTGCGGCAAATTCGTTGGTGACGTGTGTAATAGATGATTTAGAGGTAAAAGTTTTTTATTTTTATTTATTTATATGGGAAATGTTCATTACTTTTTCGCGATCAGGTATTTCATATATGTTCTTTTTACCGGGTTTAAAGATTGAGAAAACTGATGTATTTCGTGAAATTTTTCTAATTTATGAGAAAAAAAGCAGTGTACATGGATATAGTGAAGACCTGTGCGCAATGCCATTTTTGTTGCAATTCTGGGATGCTTTTTAAGTAAAATAAGTCGGCGTTTGTACATGGTTATGTGTATGTGTTATTTTGAAAAACGCGCAAGGAGTATGGTATTGTGCACTTTTCCCCAATTTTGCAGTGAATATTTGTCATGATTAAGCAGTTTGTTAGATAAAATTTCTAGCATAAGTGTAATTCGGCTAGTAGATTGTTGGAAGGAAGTGTTCAGTAGATAAAAAGAAAAGAAACATGTCTTTGCGGCGGGAAAAAAAAATAGAGGGTTGCTGTAGAAGAGTTGGTTGCCAAATTTTCGCCAAAAAATTGCCAAGTTACCATAATGTAAAGATCAACCAAAAAAACTCACAGACTGGGTATTTGCAGAAAGTACTACTTTGTATTTGTATTACTTTATATTTAAATTACTGTAAATTCATTATAATGATCAGCAATAAGATTTTATCCTTCAAAAATGTGTATAAAAAAGGGGTGCGTCTTATACGCTAACAAATACAGTACTTGATTTGCAGTCAGTCATAATTTATCTGTATACACATGAATGAAGAAATAGTGAATGTTTAAAATGGAGAAAGTTGCAGTGTTTTTTTTTGAAACACGTACTTCAAGGACATTGCCAGCCCTCCTCTTTGTGATTATACTGCGTGTCATAATCAATATATTGCACTTATTTTTTACAACTTATTAGAGACTTAGTTCAAGTCAGCCTTCAGTCAAGCATGGTGAAGCATTTTTCATGAAATGAAACATGCCAAACTGAAAGGAGTTCATGGAAAAAATTAAACAACTCAAACTATTTGTTGTAGCTATCATTCCCATAGTTACAAGGTGATCTGGGTGGAAGAAAATGATTCTGAAGTTCCTATTTCAAAGTAATAGACCATGTACTATTCAGAACATACATTACAATAAAAAACACAGAAAGCAGTGATATCGAGGTACCTACTCTAATGTAATTGAATGCAGTCATACATGACTACGCTTGAACTACCATATACAGTGTATTACTGCATACTGTTGATTTAGATGGTACACTACAGCTTGAAACTTCATTTTGAACTGAATACTGTAAAGGCCCTTATTTTCTTGATTTTCACAAGCCCGTCGTAATCGCAAAAATTAAAGCCTCGCGAAATACTTTTTTTTTTTTTTTCAATTTTCAATTTTCTCAACTTTACTTAGACGCTTTTGAAATTTTTCAACTTTCGGTTCTGTTCATATAAAATTTGCAAAATTTTCAACTCATGCAATCACCGATACATTCATTTTCGCGAAAATTAGGGCCTTTACAGTAAGTAGCAGCAAACTATGTATGTTGCAGAAACAGCATATTAGAATAACTATGAGGTTACAAAACTGGAGACACATGATTTTAATGCAGCATTATTACCATGAACTGTGACCTTTTACAATGAAAAACACTTCGAAAAGAACACCACCTGAAAGGACTTACAATAATACAGTACAACTATGTCAACAAGGTTCAAACTAGCAAGCATTTGAGACAATAAAGTATGATGGTTATTATTATTATTATTTTTTTTTTTTTTGTTTGAAAATTTTTAACTTCTAGTGCATTATCTTACACCCTGTGGCTATAATATTATCATTGCATGATGCCCAGCGGTTAATTTCTAAAATTAAAAGTGTCAGAGCCCTGTGGAAGATTATGAGAAACAAAAAATAAAACAGCTAAAAATTAAATAACTGAATTTAAATTAAGAAAAATGTAAAGAGATAAAGAGAAATCTAATAAATTATTAAATTAATTTTAAACAGCTAAATAAGAAAAAAATCAGATCTTGTTTTATTTGGGGCATTGGCTGAATTACAATTCCACATAAAAGCTAAGAAGCAGCTTAGTAGACTTCCATCTGACTTAAAGCCACGATTATACATATAATGTACTGTTCCAATGGACGACAGGTACCACATTTTTTTTTCAGCACACCAAGGAAAAAAGATAAAATGATTAAAACTCCACTAAGGAGAATCAGAATTTCAAAAACTGTATGAGAATATGGTAGGAAATTTTAATGGAAAATTGTAGCTTTGAAAATAAAGAGGGAAGAGTTCAAGACTTTCTGATCGCGATGCCCTGTCAATGTCTAGAAAGTCTAGGCAGAAATTTTCCCTGGATACAATTCAGTAACAATGTGAGAATAAATGTAAGACTTCTCTGTACAAGTAACAGCAGTTGTCCCTCTGTTTGATTACATCATTTAGAAAGTCTACAGGAACTATGCAATAGGAAGGTTGACTATCGTGGAAATGTGACGGTTTAGTACTTTGAGGGACACAAAATTCACCTGCTCTCATAAATTCATAGCACATCCTGCAGAATAAGTCTTTGACATATGACTGGAGGGCTTTTCTTAAAAGTTTCAACCTCTGAGCAAGGCTTGAGTCCAAGGGAAAGATAGACCTGCATTCAGAAGTTAGAATTGATTTTTAAGGCATGTTTTTTATTAAAACAAAGTTTACCTACTCAAATTGTTGTTCATTTACATAAAAAAAGTGCCAGAACCCTTTTAATTAGGGCTTTGGTGGCCTCCCGCTGAAATTATCTCGAGAACTGGTAGGTACCGCAGCCGGGCTCTGAATGATGCGATACAATGATTACAGGTTGAGTCACATTTTTGACTCAACCTGTAATTACTGACCAAATCCATTTCAATTATTTATAAAACTACACGTATGATGATTCACATATAAGAAATACGTATTTCTTAAAAAAATACCTATTTCGAAAAAAGAAAGCATACTTACTTGCTCAGCTCCAAATGGTGTAATATTTGCTTTAACAGTTCCTGTTCCTATCGCAGCTGCAATTAAGACGCACATTATTAACCAACTACAATTTTCCTCATACAACGGAATATCCAAACCGCCGTCATTTGTAGAATTAATAATCGGTGAAAAACAATTGTCAGACATACTGCAAAGTTCTGATAAATATGGAAGAAACCAATATGCAGCAGTGAACAAAACAAATGCAGGCCCTATTGTTCTAAAGCGTCCCAAATATGCATCGGATAACCAGCCCCCAAACAAACAGGATAAGTATGATATTCCAGTAAAAATAAGTAGTGCACTAATGGCATTATTGGACTCCCAACAAAAATCATTTTTATTTAAAAAAAGGTACAGATTCCCGGTCAATGAATAATAAGCAATCCTTTCTAATAATACTAAAATTAGTATAATAACTCCAGGCACGAAATGCCAACGGCTGTTGGAAGGTATAGAAGAGACTCGGGAAGAGTTCGTATTTCGAGCTGTGATATAATCACTGCTACTGTAACTTAAAGAATTTACAGACCGCAGCAAAGGTTCTGTTTCACTGTCGGAAGCCATTATTTAGTAAATACTACCGACTAGAAATATCAGTAATTCATTCTCTACCGCAACCTAAAACCAAAACACTGTCAAGATCACAAGACATGCATTACTGTTGATATCGCTTCACATTTTTAGACAGTTGCGTACCCTTCTACTACGCGCATGCTCGAATTAGACTAGTATGTTCGTAATGGAAGTAGAAGTAAAATTAATAACGCAAAACCTTTTTTCTTAATTAGCTAAAGAAATGATTTCCAGATTTTCCATATATCTCGTATCTTTGAAGTACATCAATGAGCATTTTAGTATAATGCAGCAATAAATTTTATTTAATGTGGAAATATGAATTATCTAAATGTGAAGTATAGACTGAGTTCGAGGTTACGGCAGCACTCTAAGCGGGATAAACAAATTAATGTTTATAAACAAACTAGAGAATGTTTACTTTTATGACGCATGCATTTTGAAATCAGATCTAGTGCTGATGAGCTAAAAAGTAGGTCAGCACTAAACGTTCTGCTAGTTTTAATTAGAAACTTTTTTTAAAGGCTTTTAAATGCTGATAAGAGAAAGTGATTTATCTTGTTTCTCAGTCCATAGATTTCTAAAAAAGAACACACTCAAACTTCTTTTGGTTTTATACGTTTTATGGCATTAAAAAACTTTAAAAAAATTTGTTTTCAAAAGTAATTTTTAAGCGTTTTATTCATTAGCAGCAGTAACAAATGATATTTAATAGCGGAAACACTGATAATATCCTCCCCCCAATAAAAGCTTTTATTTTCTTCTCTGTGTAATAGATAAATTATATATGCCAGAATATAACGAAAATTATTTCCTGTTCTTTTTAATTTAAATATTGTGAAATGAATTACATTTATTTATTTGAAAAGTCTCGTGCATAACTCTTAAGGTATCCATAAACTATCTTTACAGGTAAAAGCTCAGATCATGTCTTGGCTTTCATAGACGGAATAAGAGAGTCACCAGTTATATCTTTAGTGCATGACATGCAAAAGTAATAAGCTCTAAAACATCAATATCTGAAGCATGAAATCATTGAAACAACTAGTTTGCAATTATCATAGATATATTATTATGAACATGGCAGGAAACTGATTATCATCTAGTGGACTTTACACAAAAAATAATGACCTAGCATTAGTAATTGTATACATTATTTTAAAAGGCATGAAAAAGGGGATATATTTTCCAATAAAGACAGCATAAAGACTAGAACACAAAAATAAATTATTAGTGACTAATTGACAAACACCTTTTTTCTTTAATTAAAGAGAAGAAACTCTGGATAAAGTGCAAAATCGCCCACTTATTTGTTTGGCGCTTTTTGTAAGAGTACGAAGAATTGGATTTTTGTCAATTTTCACTGACTTTTTTTTTCAAGTGAAAATATGTCGATGTGTACATGGATACAGAGTATGTGCAATTCTTAAAAACATGCCAAGCTGTGAGTGATTCTGCACTTTCCCTGAAACTCTAGCTTAGTTGTTTTATAGTCAGGAGTTTCAATTCGTAATGTAAAAAAATGTGATGCCATTTCTGTTATATTTTGAAAACATATAAGCATGTATTTTGGGCAGCTTTTCAGTTTGTGAACAATATTTGGCTAGGTAGAGAAGAAAAAAAATATTACAACATTTGAAAAATAAGCTTTAAAGATTATCTACTTGATTCTTGATTCTTCGATAAATTATTCTGTTAAGCATACACCAACCAGTTTAATGTAAAAGCTTTCTGTTCTTAAAATGTGTTTAGAAATATCTAAGCTGCAAAAGTTATAGAAATATCTAAGCTGTGATATAAAATTCATGATGTGGAATAAAATAAACCTTCCGTACCTATTAGACAAACACTTCTTAAACCTTGCAGAGCAGTGTTTTTTTCAGTGCCACTGAATTTGATTAACAATCCTGTTGTTTTAAATAGGTTAATTTTCAAGTTAAAGAATGAATGTTTATGAATAAATTAAAAATAATAAGCAACTTTTAAAATTTACATTACAGCATAATTAGGTTCTTTCAGAATTTTTGAAGATTGCATACCTATTTTGTTAGTTGGAATTCCAATATTTAAACTATGTGCTCTTTTAGGGAAAGACATCAGGTTAAAAAGTAATAGTCACATGCTTATTTGGGTACTTATGTATTATCGCAACCCCTTAGTAGAAGTTGCAAAATTTTCTGAAATTGCCAAACTCTGGCAGCTATGCTTTTAACAGTTTTTTTAGGTAACCATATCCACTGTAAGCTGCAATCTAAAAAATTCATCGAATAATTTTTTACTCGACAAAAAATTGCCAAGCTGTGCAAGATGTTTGCGCTAATACATAAGTATCCTTTTTTGTTTTTAAGTTGGAAACAAGGGTCCAATTAATTCAACACATTTTTGTAATTGGACAAAAAAGTAACCTTAGTTTGGTATAGTTCTGCACCTAGCTAATTTTTGTTTCCCTGATCCAATCTGATTTAATAAATATTTAGCAGTGTACATATATCTCTTCACAAGAGTGATTCATATGATTTATTTGAAAGTGTCTTTTACTATATAAAATTTAAAATAATGAATTGTATTTTTATAGTCTAATTTTATTTTTAATGTAGTAATATTCTAAAACAAACAGAATGAGAAAGGATTTTACTCATTAATTAAAGTTGATGTTTTGATTAACACAAAGCAGAGCTGGTTTATTGCTGCAGAAGTACAAACAACCAGTAGTGCAGGACTGGTTTGTCACTAGGTGAACCTAGGTAAACATTTAGGGATGCTAAGAAATTGGAATGCTTATCTTATCTTAAAAAATAATTAAAAAAACAGGCAATAAATTCTTTCTGGTTCTTGAAGTTTAGCTAAATCTTATGAAAATATTGTAAATATACAATGAAACCTTTCATACTAATTACCTCCATAAAATTACACCCTCTGAAAATGACCAGTATTTTTGAAAACAATGTTAAATAATGGTACTGAACATCACTGATAGCCATGTAGTGATATGTATGAATTGAGGATATTATTACACTTTTAAAGCTTAGGCAATAAAGTTTATTTCCATTTCACTGTATCTGACTCTGTCATACTTTTGTATTAATTTCCTATTTTAATTTTTGTCTGTTTTTTGAAAATTGTATTTCATTACTATCCCTTTTCTAAAATTGCAGGATACTGTATTATCCTTTTAGCTATTTCTATTTATTTTGAAACTCCAAATCTTTTATAGATTGCATTTTAGTTTTTACCATTTATTTTGATTTTTAGCAATGTACCTTTTTTGCTGGTACTTGGCACCATATTTTGTTCCCCTATTTTGATTTTGATTATTGGCTATTTTCTTTCTTAAATTTAAACTTAAATTTAATTTTTGGAAATATAAGTTGCCTTTATATTTGCCATTGGTATTCCAAGTTGCTAATTTTTAAATTAAAAAAGTTTCCGCTTTTAAAATTCGGATTCATTGTCTGTCCCTTTTTGCGTGTGTATGTGTGCATATAATATGATATATTTTCATTCAAATCCCATTAGATCAGATTTTATCTTGATGATTCTTTTCAAAATTTCTTAAAATTTTTCTAAAACTTAAAATTTTACATTAATATCTTCTCATTTAATTATTTTTACATAAAATTTCTTTGGTTAGTATCTGTTACAAATCATCCAGATAATTCAGAAACATGGCTCTACTGATGATTCTTTCAGCTGCTGTTGAAAAAGACCAAGGAATTATCAACTATTATTTATCAATTAATAAATGGTCACTATTTTATGGTTAAAGTAGACTGAAGGATACTCCTTGTATCATTGTGAAGTTGTTGTTTCGTTTATCACCAAGTTGTTTCATTTATGGTTTATGGTAACCTGAGTAGTTGAATGTTCTGTAAGTTTACTTTTACTAGAATTGGGTGCTCCTATGACTTTTTAAGTGAAAATATATAGATGTGTACAAAGTCAAGAGAGTGCGCAATGCCAAATTTGTTCAGTTCTCTGATGTTTTTTTAAGTGAAAATAGGTTGACGTGTACATGCATAAAGTCAAGTGAGTGCGCAATGCATAGTTTGTGCAATTTTGTGATTTTTTTTTTTTTTTTTTTTTTAAGTGAAAATAGGTCAATGTGTACATGGTTACCTAGTTTGCGCAATTTTTTTACTTGTTATTTTATCTTTGTGTAGCGGCGATTTTTAGCGTTACAATCGCGGCTGCACAAAGCCAAAATAACAAGTGAAAGAATTGCACAAACTCGGTATCCATGTACCGTCAAAAAAAATCGCTAATTTTTGGCAAGGAGTTACCGGTTAATATACTTTTACTCTGTTTTATTTTTGTATTAATTTATTTTTACCTCCTAAATTTTTACTTCATACGTTTTTAATTCGTACCTTCGTGGTAGATAGTTAACCACGAATTATTATCAGCCACTCTTGGCTGATAATAATTCTGTATATTATATATATATATATATATATATATATATATATATTATATATATATATTTTAGAATCACAAGAATGTACTAATTTATTCTTATTTATGTTTTTACACTGTTTTAGTTCCTTTTATGTTTATGTAGTTTGTGAATTGTTTTACTATGACAAACAGCGGTTGTGTCAGTGAAAAATCTTTTTATGCAAGGACCTTTCATTCTTTTAAATAATTAGTCAAAAGTAATCCGGACCCGTCGGGACTTCGGCGATTCTGGATTATCGGTTTTTGCGGATTATAGATCATCAGTTTAAATCTGGTAAGATGGCATGCAGAAATTACAAAATTAAAAATATGAAATCATAATTTATGGAATAAAGAGCAATTATGATCTAAAGGGGTATCAAAATTTACAAAAAACAAAAGCTTAATATTTATTTGTTTACTTTATTAAACATTTCTTTTAACGCGCGCATGCGTAAAGCATACATTACGCATAGTCGAAATTAGAAAATTGCATCCAGAAAACTATTTGATGTGTATTCGTGATATTTATAATGACGAGGAATTTGATTTAAATCATATCAAAGACGGAGTACATCGAGATGAAATACTACATTTAGTAAGGAGTTATAAGCCGAATAAAGTAAAAACATCTGCTCTGAAGATAAGGATAGTGCTGACAGATCAACTTCCAGTTTATTGCGTGTCGCAACGTT